AATTATTATTGTATGAATATATACACACATCATGCAAAAAATTTTCACTTTCACGTTTCCGCCCTAGAAAAAAAGTTACATGATCGATACCCTGAGCGCGCGAAATGTCAGCTATGTGATTAGCGAAATTTAATTGCAATTACTTTTATGAAGCCTCGACATTTTTATATTAAAATTCTCATCATAAAATTATCTCAAAAATACGTCTTTAAAAAAATACGATAGTGTGAGATACCGCACGCGCGCGCGCGAGTGTGTGTGTATGTACATACATATGCATATATAAATCTTTACGATATATTTAATTTCATAAAATGTAAAAATTACAAAAAATAGAGTGTATATATATACAGGGTGTCATTAATCGATTAAATCACCTATCAAAAGCAGGTAGATCGAATAGACCGAACTGAGTCGAAACGTCTTTTTGACTTATCGTTAAGATCTAAAACGTTTATTCGGTTATTTTTAAGATCTAATATCTCGTTAAATATTGTGTAAACTGCAAAATGGTATATATATATATATAACTTTTCGACTCAGTTCGGTCTACTCTATCTGCTCTTGATCGGTGATTTAATCGGTTAATGACACCTTGGATATAATATATAATATAATGATATGACAGCGTCTATTTAATCCTTGTTTTAATTCCTTGTGCAATTAAAATTAGAACTATAATTTTTGCTCCTTTATCTGATTCCATAACATTGAACAGAAACGTCCTCCTCTCTTTAAAGAATTAATGAATCAGACATATTAAATTTTAAACGATGTAATATAACTTAATTAAATCTGTAAAAAATAAATTAAAAAAGTAATAATAAAAAAGAAAAGGACTACGAGCCAAAAATGTCATTAAATTACAGGGAATGGAAAGTTACTTTTTAAAAATAACTAATTACAGTTACTCGTTACCGAGTAAAAAATGTAACTAGTTACAGTTACAGTTATCGCTTTTTAAAAGTAACTCGTTACAGTTACCGTTACTTGAAAAATAACTTTTCGTTACTTTTCCGTTACTTTTTTAAAATCAATTTAAAAATGTACTTTTGCATTTTTTTTTATATGTAATACTGACAAATATATAGTTTTATTAAAAAAAAAAAAACAATGTAGAATGGCTCAAATAATAAATTAAATAAAAGTAAAATGAGAAGGGTTACGAGCCAAAAATAAAACAGTTTATTTCCGATAAGAACGACGATGACAATGTAATTAAATGTATAAATATATATTAGAACAATACATAGATAAAACAAGATAAAAACAAACGACGTTTCGACACTTATTGTCATCGTCTTTTAAACTGTTTCGCTTTTGGTTTCATAGCCCTTCTCATTTTACTATTATTTAATTTATTTTTTAATTTTTTTTAAACACAATTTTGTAATTCTAAAACCTGTAAAATATGCAGCAAACTGAAATATTTGTATGTCCTATGTATTACATAGAAGATAGAAGTGTAAAATAATTACTGAATCATAACGGCCGAATGTCTAAGGGCTTTCAAGTCTTATTGATAAGCGCTATAAATAGCATGTATCCAATCGAACCGTGTTCAATCGTGTGCAAAGTAACGACAAAAGTAACTGTAAATTTCGTTACCGTTACCCAAAAAATGTAACTCGTTACCGTTACAGTTACCAAAAAAAGAAAGTAACGCAGTTACCAGTAAAGTTACCAAAAAAGTAACTTGTAACTGTAACTTCGTTACAAGTAACGAGTTACTTCCATTCCCTGTTAAACTGTACAATTGTTAGTAAATAAAATTTGTCATTTAGTTACAATCACGTAGTTTAATTAGAAACAAGAAATAGACAACAAATGTTTCGACCTAACAACGGACAATTTTATAAATCGTACATTGATATAATTTTATTGTAACATTAATGATGACCTAATAGAAGTCGAAACGTTTGTTGTCTATTTCTTGTTTCTAATTAAACTACGTAATTGTAACTAAATGACAATTTTCATTTACTAACAATTGTAAATATATTTAACGACTTTTTTGGCTCGTAGTCCTTTTCCTTTTCATTATTTTTAAATTGTAATAATTAAATATATTAAAATTTTTTATCCTTATTGTTCACCGAATATTAAAGAAAGATAAAATACATCATGCGCATAATATGTGAAACGGAACACAGCCTATATGTGTAAACTGTGAATAAATGTGAAAAAAGGCGTCGTGATTACGTTTGATTACGAAAGCCAATTAGATTTATCCCTAAAATTTTTACGTGGCTAGAAATAAAGTAATGATAAAAGTAACTAATGAAATCGTTACCGTTACCCCAAAAATGTAGCTGCATTACCATGAACGTTACTCCGAAGAAAATGTAACGTCGTTACCTATATTCGTTACCGAAAAAAGTAACTTGTAACGGTAATGACGTTACACAAATAATGCGTCCAGCCCTGAGAAATTGTATAAATATTAATTTTTTTTCTTTCCTTCCATGTGGTTCTGTCTTCGTGGGGAACGACCAGCGACCGGCGACGTCTCCTAGAAGAAATGCAAGCGCGAGAATGTCAAATATGAATGATTACAACTATTACCAACTATTACAAGTGATGGAGCAGGAACGTACGGGGACTGATAGGGATCGATCAGTGACGAGAGTGCCCGTTTTTTGCCCAAAGTAATTTATTTGATTTATTAAAAACTTAGACGTTGGAATGCGACTTCTACACGTGTGACGGGTATAATATGTAAAACTAAACGCTACGATATTTATATTTATAACTATATGCTTATTTCTTTACGATTCGTCACTGGTCAACGCAAATATATGTATATCATGTATATGTGATAATAGAATAATAGCAATTTATTTATATATTTATATATATATACACACACACACACACACACACACACACACTACTCACATACGTAAGTATGTATATATACTGTTCAATAGCGATAATTAAATCCTTCAATGCGCTAACTACCGTGTGCTGTTCTCTCCTCTTTCCCTTACATTGATTTTTTCTTTACAAGCAAACATTCGATCATCGAGTCAGGACACGATACGCACGCAACACACAAAGAACGAAAAACAAACAGAGAAATACGTTGTAAGTTACATTCCTTAGGATCAGTTCTTTTTTCAAATTTACAGATCTACAATTGCCATTCCAACTATTAATAATAGCTACGTTCAACAGGAAAAGTAGCTTTGCAACTGTTCTTTAATGTACTTAAATTCTTGTTGCGCGGCCGATTCGTGATCCAACACTGCGGCTCGTCCGACCGTGTAAGTGTAATGATTCGTTCGCCAATCATTACGAGGAAAAGAACTCACATGGAGAATTTCTGGCTCAACAGCCGTCCTTCAAGAAATTTCTCCGTTGTCGACAGCACTTCAATCGGTTTTGCAAGAGATGCAACAGCTGCGCGCGAGGAACAGCGGCGTACAAGAACCGAATACGCGAAGTCGGTGCGGCAACGTGACGCTGAGATTCTTCAGTTACGAGAAGAGAGTTTCGCAACATTCGACAGACAAGTCCAACTAGTTGCAATAATGCCGCGAACGCCGACGATCATGACATTACGCGGCGGGCAGTTGAAAGTGCCGCGAAGGCGCGTGAGCGCATTGAATCGCGTGTTTCATTTCACGGGGAAGCGAGTTTTAAACTTAAGCCGGACACTTTCGACGGGAGTGCTCCTCTGCGAAAATCCTTGCTCAATTTAATCTAATTGCTCGCGCAAACCGCTGGGGAGTCAAGACAAAAACCACTATATATTTTAATTTCGTGTTTGAGGGGAAAAGCAAGTGCGGTTTTGAAAAATATGCAAAATATGGAAAGCCTAGATTTTTCGGAGTTAAAATCAAGATTAGAGTTACGCTTTAGAGAAGCGCAGTCGTTACAAAACTATTACTCGCAATTTACAAATCGGAGACGGAAATACGGAGAAAGTATTGCGTCTTTTGGTTTCGAGATCGAAAGATTACCTCAATTAACATATATCCCGAGTGTTTTGATTTAGTACGCGATAAAATCGCGTGTGCGCAGTTTATTTCCACTCTATTTGATGGATTTGTGAAAAGATCGCTTCAATTAGAAGGGATAACATCTCTAAGAATAGCGATCGAGAGAGCGAAAGCAATTAGGCTAATATAAAAAAATAATCTCCAATATAAGAGGAGAAATAATTGTAATTTCGCGAAAAAGAAAGGGAAAAAATTTCATGGCACAGATAATGAAGAAAAAGATTTGGAAACTAAAGAGGGGGAGAGAAAGTTTAATAAAAATAAATTTAAGAAATTTGAAAAAGAGAATTATAAACAAAATGAAGAGTGATAGTGATAGAGTGTTGGGAATGCTCGGTAAAGATTTATTCATTTCCCCCCCGGGGTTTATAAACACTCCACTTTCTACCATTTTATCGTTCGGCATTTCATCGTTGTCATTTGTTTGTTCGTAAGACATTTTACCGTCTAGTACATTTGAACGAACCCAGAGAACAATGCACGTTTGAAAGACATCCAAAAGACGTCTTCAAAAAAATGTCTCGAGGACTTTTCCAAAAGACGTTCTTAATCTTAAGACGTCTTTCGGACTTTATCCAAAATAAGTCTGTTGCAGGTAGTCGGAAAGACGTCTTGACGACTTTTCCAAAAGACATCGTTAAGATGACTTAAAGTTGATTTTTATGGTCGACTAAAAGCTCAAAGTTAGCGATTTAAGGTACATTTTCGTACCGATGCTCATCGCTCATTTCTGGCGTCAAAATAGATCACGTGATCAAAATTGATATTTGTCAATTTGTATTGAGTTTTGACGCTGAAAATGAGCGTCAAGTGTCAGCACGAAATGGCACCTTTAGAAATAGTATAGACATCTGTGGCTTGTGCATTTTACGGATAGCTCGATCGCTCATTCCTACTCGTTCTCTCTAAATTTCTTTTTTCATATTATATAGTATATCAATAAATTATATACAATAATATTATAATACATAAAAAAGTACATATATAGATATATATTTTTTTACAGAAAATTAAAATTGCCAAAATAGGCAGTAAGTCAGTTTCGAATAAAGTCAGAAATATTCTAAAATTCATCATAACTGATGAATTAAGAAAAAAGATCTCTTGGACGGGGCAAAAAGGATCATTTGTCATTCAAAATACAAAAATTACGAATATAGTTACAGGTAATTTTTGTATATCAAAAAGTGTTTCAAGAATGGCTACGACACGCAGGAGATAGGGTGAAATACTCAGAAAAAAACAAAAAATAAAGGTATGCTCCTTAAGGTACATTTACATACAAGCATCAAGCGTAATATATATTTTTTTACAGAAAGTTAAAATTGCCAAAATTGGCGGCAAGTCAGTTTCGAATAAAGTCAGAAATATTCTAAAATTCATCATAACTGATGAATTAGAAAAGAAGATCTCTTGGACGGGGCAAGAGGGATCATTTGCCATCCTAAATACAAAAATTGCGAATATAGTTACAGGTAATTTTTGTGTATCATTGTTATTAATAAGAGAGAGAGAGAGAGAGAGAGAGAGTTCGTTTTTACAATTGATATATTTTTTAATTTTAATACACATAATAAACTTAAAAAAAAATTTTATTTAAGCTCTCTGTAATATATTGTTAAAAAAGATTTTTCTTTGTAAATTTGGATTGAATGTATGTGTGTCATATAGTTTTAAATGTTATTAAAACTATATTTATTGCAGCATAATAATAACAATGTAATAAAATATTTTAATTAAAAATGGTAATAAATTATGTTATAAATTTATTTTCATGATATCTCTCACAGATACCAACGAATGTAGCATATATGATGTACAAAAAGTAATTCAAGAATGGCTACGACACGCAGGAGATAGAGTAAAATATTCAGAAGAAAAACAAAAAATAAAGGTATGCACCTTAAGGTACATTTATATACAAGCATCAAGCGTAAGGCCGATATTTCATGTGTCGTACGTGCTCTAATACGACAAGGCTTTTCAAGCCGGTTTATTGGCTGTAAAACAGAGATTCTCAGATTTCTTTGTCCTATAGCCAATCAACGTGCTTGAAAAGTTTGTCGACCGACACATGAAATATCGGGCTAATGCTGGATTCACACTGGACGCAGCAAACGTCAAGCACCGGAGCAGCAACCAACCAGTGTGGCAATATTTACAGTGGCGTAAAAAATATCGCCACGCTGGTTGATTGCTGCTCTACTGCTTGTTGCTTGCTGCGTCCAGTGTGAATTTAGCATAAAGCCGCGGAAGCATAGCAACCAATCAGCAAGGCGATATAAGCAATAGCGTAAAAAGAAATACTTTCTACGTTACTGGCCATATCGCCTCGCAGATTGGTTGCTAACTACAAGAAATAAATGCAAGAATTGACTAATCATGATTATCTCCTCTCATTCTTCCCTAGCATTCGTTCCTCTCCTGTCCAAGAAAAGAAAACTTATACAAAAAGAAGACGTGCATTGTTCTCTGGGCGGATTGTGGATCGTAAATCAGAATCCAATCAAGATAAAGTTAATTGCTTTATCTTGATTGAATTAAAATATTTAATTTGATATTGAATGTAAAAAATGTAATAAATTTGAAATTAAAAAAAATTTGTATTTATTTTGCGTAAAAATTTAAAAATTAATAATTAAGTTAATGATTTCTACATTACCGACGATTAATGCATAAGTCTAAAATTGATCTAAAAATAATATCTTTAAGACGTCTTTCAGACATTATCCTTAAGGGTTGGATTATATTAGCCGTAATCTGTTAACTTATACAGTAATCTGTAAAAATTTACCAATTATAATCGATTATTCCCCTCTCATTCGACTGTGATTGGTCAAGCTGTAACCTGTAAAAATTTACCAATTATAATCGATTATTCCCCTCTTATTCGACTGTGATTGGTCAATTTTTACAAATTACGGCATAAGTTAACAGATTACGGCCAGTATAAATCAACCTTAAGACGTTTTATGGATATTGATTTGGGATCAATGTCCATAAGACGTCTTATGGACATTGATTTAGGATCAATGTCCATAAGACGTCTTAAAGATAATATCTTTAAGGTCCGATTTTTCATTATCTGGTTAACTTGTGGTTAAGCTTAACCTGATGTTTCACCCAATGAGCTTTATCCATGACATCACCATAGATGAAGCCCATTGGATAAACCATCAGGTTAAGCTTAACCACAAGTTAACCAGATAATGAAAAATCGGGCCTAAGACGTCATAAATCGACGCATAAGACATCTTTAAGACGTCATATAGACATCATTCTGATACTTCCAAAAAATGTCTCATGAATTTTAGGACGTCTTTATGACGTCTCAATGTTCTCTTGGTACTAGATGGTAAACTTGTCTTATGAACAAGTGACGACGACGAAATATCGAACGATGAAATGGTAAAAGGGAAGTGTCCATAAATCCATTTTCCGATTGGAATGTTCGGGTAGATCGGTAAACAAGGGGTGGTGCGGGGCGCGTTCGATTGATTTTAAAGACACTCCGAAGAATATTTACAATGTTAATAATCAATGTTCTTTCAGATTGAATAGACTTAAGAATGATTTAATGTGTTTTTGCTTTGAGTGAAAAGTGAACGATAAATGTTGTGTTTTTAGAATTGACACGGGCTCTGATGTTTCGATTTTGAATAAAAAGCTACTCAGTGAGAAATAACAATGGAATCGACATTGAATTAATGTCAATTCGACGTTGAAATCATCAAACATTGAATTGACATCGTTTCGGCATCGATTCCATTGTCATTTTTCTCACTGGGTGGTCGAATCGGATGAATTAAAAATTAAAATAAATAACTGTAGTTTAGAATACCCAATAGGGGAGAATTATTTTGAAAAACTAATGTTGAAAAAAAATAAATTAATAATAGTTCGATAAATCGGAGCTCTAGTTCCTTTGAAAATAATTTAATTTTCATTTTTGCGGTGCAAGCCGCGGGTTTTTAATTTCTTTTAGTTTCGGAATGCAGAAGAATGTATGATAAGGTAAGGGATAGCGTCGAAAAGATTTATTCACAAGAATGAAACGTTAGAATGGAAACGTCACCAACGAGGTGTAAAAATATTCGGTGAAGGCTTAGTTTTTTTTTTTAAGAAGACCGCCTCGCCCGTAGTTTTTCCGCAGGACGTTGGGCAAATGCCGAAGCGGGGACTGTGGGGCAGGGGTCCTATGGCAAAGTTAGATTCTTCCCTCTCCCCCTGTCCAAAAAACGAAAAGACAAGAATGCAAGGCTCAAGAGAAGAAGCAAGAGGAGAGAATTTTCCTTTAAGAAGATAAGGGGACGTCCAGAGCGGGTTTCTCGAAGATTAGCTACCTTCCGAGGAGGAACTGAAGAGGGATCCTGCTCAGAGGGAAAGAAGAGATGAGTCTCAAGACTCATTTCTCTTAAACAAGAAACCGAGCTCCAAAAAAACTGTGGCAGCAGCGCAGAAAAGGAGCGAGAAGTTGGTTGGAAGCCCGGAATCTTTTTTGAAAAGAAAGCCAATGCGTTTCTTGGGAAGGAAATCATTGTCGGGACAATTTTCAAGAGGGAGGGCAATGTTATACCCATGCTAAGCCGACACCCGAAAGATACGTCGCTCAGCAACGAGCGGCGCAGCTGGTCAGCTGTCATACACCGTCAGCTTTTCTGGTGGAGATGTCTTGACGTACGGACTGCACATTTCGATCTCTTAACCGTTCGCTGTGTCTTTCAATCTCTGTGTTATGTTCTCAATAAATAGTTCTTACTGCTATCTCAGGCAACTTTCGAATTCCATCTCGAAAAAATGACTCGTCTTTGGAGGCGATCATCTTTTGGAAAACGAACCGAACTAATTTGTACTCCCAATAATAACTACGTGTTCTTCATTTCGGAAGTGTGCACGCGTACGCGCTTGCGAGAGTGTCGGATCACGATTATCACGAATCGGCTGTGCGAGCGCAACAGCAATATAATTGATCTTGCTCTTAATTCCTCATTGGATCTAAATGAAATTAATCATATCAAAGAATCTTACAATTGCAAAGTTGTTTTTTCTGCTGAAAACATTAATCTTTTCCGCTGCAGCTGTTATCAATTGATTGGTATTAAAACGATATTAATAATTCGGCAAGACACAAGCTAACAGTGGATGCTTTCCAACAAAAGACACAGATGACAGCGTAAAGACACAGAAACACATGGAAAAACGTAAGGCAGTAAGACGTAAACAGTAAGCGATTAAGCCAATGACAGAACAGAGAATGTAAGATAATAATCTTACACTCTCTACTGTCATTGGCTGCGTTCAGCAGAAAAAGCAGCTTTACAACTATCGTAAAATTCTTGAATATGATTGGTTGATACATTTAGGTCCAATGAGAAATTAAGGGCAAGACCCTTAATGAATTTTACAACGTTGCAAAGCTGCTTTTTCTGCTGAACGCAACCATTCGCTTACTAGTATAATATCTTCTTTGTTTTTATATATGCCATGGGTTTGACACATTACATTCTTGTTATTTGCTAATGTTAAACAAAATTAAAAAATGAAATAATCATTGTACGGTACACTGTGTGTGTCTCTTGTTGGAAAATACCAACATTACATTAACATCAATCTCTTCAACAATGTAACTGTTATTGATACGTATATATACATATAATATGTGATATCTTTCGCAATAAATTATTCACAGTTTTTACGTTTCATCAATAAACGACAGTTAATATTCTTGTTAAAAAGATGCTTGTTAAAAAAAAAAGTTATAAAATTGCTTGTGTATAATTTATTAAGAAATGATATTGTTCATAAAGCGTTTTAAGTCCGCAGAAACATATTCGGCAAGCGATATGCGGCAGAATTAGAATGTATATAAATTCACACAAGAAATATGTATTTAAACATTAAGGTGTAGTGTTCTTCTCATTGTGTCCTACCTCGACGTTTACGTCCCGGTTGTCGCATCAAGCCGAACATACCGAGCGTCTATAGAAGTACCATATATTTACAGAAATGTACAAAGCGATTAAAATTTCACCCGAGAGCGAGTTTCGCGGTGCGAAATTACCGTCTTCCGCGGCGTTCGTTCTCCCGGTTCCCCAGGGTCCCCGTTGCGTCGTTGACGTCGGTAGAGACACTGGGGATCATCGTTTTACATAATATCCTTATACATGTCTATTTTTTCCCTTTCTTTATACATAATGCGATTATTGAAACAAAGTAGATACTTTCAGGCTAAGGGTTAATTGTGGGAATCGTTATCTGCAGCACAGATTTAGAGAGGACGAGAAAGAGAGATTATAAAACGGGATAAAATCAATTATACTCCATTCTCTTTTTAGATCTCTAACTATTGCAAATTGTATCCCTCCCCCCCCTCCTCCCCGTTAATGTCTAGACTAATGACTTATTCTTTTTAGCTCGACTTTTTGCAAGGTTCATTTTTTCTTTTATTTTATTCAACGTGCAAAGAAAAGATGAACCGTGTAAGGACAGGGTTGTCACAAATTTCTTATCCCAAGATTTCGTAACTTTTACTTGATTTTCAGAAAAAAATCTTTTTTTATGCTTTCATTAATATTTGGAAATTTTTTATATTTTCTGATTTGAAAACAGTCAAATATTTTCTAAAGAGAGCACTTTCGCATAGAAATATAAATTACTATTAATATTGCTTGCATTTAATTAGTAAATGTGATGTACGCATATTAAACTTCTTTAAAGTCAAGAATTTTAATTTGTTAAAGTTTTAAAAAATTCCTTGAATTTTCCCTGACGATTTGCTGATTTCTAATTTTGTAGCAACCCTGAAAAAGCTAAAAAGGACAAGTCTTCTGTTTAACTGAAAGAAAGAGAAGATTGATATTGAACGATATCGTTTAATTCATTTCACGA